GTGACAAACTGTTTCGTCGGAGTTTCACCGACTCATCAGGAGGCTGAACCCTCAACAGTCTGTAGAATCCCCTCACTGATTACACTGTAAGTGATAATCCACCTTAACCAAAATCAAAGTAGACTATCACTCACCCACACCAGATGGTTTATATATATATATAGGTCACCATAGGCATTCATTAATTCGAGCTCGTCTCGTTCATTAATTCAATTCGAGCTCTTCTTTCCGCTCGAGGTCCATTACACTCAATTGCCAAGCTGGTGACTTGTGTGTACTCAGACTTCGGATCGGATCGGATCAGGTGCATTAGCCGTATGACCATACCATCCGCTTGTTGCTGTTAATTTAAAGTGTAGCCGATTTTTCATCTTTAATTCTTCCCTCCACTTTGTGAATGTTGATTGAACTTTGGTGTATTCGGTGTCAGCGATTCTGAGTATCTTGTAGCTGAATAGTTTCAACTGCAGTGTTCTCCTGGTTCTGCGAACCCACCCCGGTGGTAGAAAGTCCCATGACACAAAGCTTGCAGGTCACCTTGGAGTCCACCGCACGACGACTCGACTTCATTAACATTTTTACTAGCCGGGAAAGGTTTAGGGCCTGCAAGCTTTGTGTCGTGGGACTTCATAAGCTTTTTTTTAGCTGAGTGACAGAAATCAGGCAGTATTGTGAGTCGTGTGCAGTTTAGGGCCTCACCACAACAATGTCAAAACATCACGACATTTGACATATATGTCAATAACTTCTCTACATTCCCTCTTTCGACAAAAAAACCCTCTTCCCTACACAGCATGTCCAAACTACGCACAAAAGAGACAAACTGGGGTGAAGATTGGACAAGCGTTGTCCGTTCTCCTTTTCAACATTCGGGCAAGAACTCCACATCCCATTGGAGGACTGTTGAGAATGTCGAAGTTGCAGGCCTGAGGTCGAAACCAGCCCTGCTCGAGAGGAGGTGTCGAAACCCTTTCCCTAACAGGTCCTGAATTTTTTTTCTCATCTCGGATTTCGACATGCTGTGTGTCGAGGAGAAAGTGTCGAAAATGCCATTTTCGACATTGGTGTGGCGAGGCTCTTAGAAGCGACAAGCGACGTAAACCACACGAAGTGCATGGCAGTGAGGCAATGCAAGCCAAGTGGACAAAAAGCGGGCAGACGAAATGGACCCCCAACCTAGGCTACCAGCCGTGGCCGCCCACGTCCCCGGTGGCCAGCCCGTGCAAGGACCAGGGACGGTCCCAGCAAGAAAAGAAAAAAAATAAAAAAAAAATAAACTATGTTCTGCAGAAAAATACACTGAACAACTTTTGCCTTATGGTCACATCGAACTTCTTCACCAAATTTAGAATAAAAAATAAAATTTAAAAATATTTATTTTATTTTTATTATTATTATTTTTTTTGAACCGGCCGGGCAAGTGACCCCGGGCCACTCTGGTAGCCTAGCCCCCAACTTGAAGCAGCAGGGAAGCCCACCCTACAGATCACTCCACACATACTACAAAAAAAAAAAAAAACGAAAACGAAAACGATGCAATTGTACAGAGAAGAACGACGCCTTACACATGGTGTGCTCACACAACTACTTCGAGGAATGGAAAACAAAAACCACGATCAATGCTCTAGCGGGAGATAGATTGTAATTTTGCACATTCCGTGACCAGTGGATTGAGGCTGAATATTAACCCTGTTGACAGCAATATGCTAACCGAGTCAGTGCTCATATATGAGACAGTGCATCATATCATACCATTACTCCAACCGATGAGAGTTTGTTTCCTTGCCCATTTACATGGTATCATTCACCCCATGAATGGGACTGTGCATCCTATGATGGTACCATTACCCCCAACCGACGAGACCTTGTTTCCTTGCTCATTTACACAACAAAAATTGTTCACGAAGTAGCTGTAATCATATACTGCCAGATGTCTATGCACACTGAGCAAATTTGTAAAACAAATGAAGGAAGGAGCAGACAGTAGGAACAAGAAAGAAGGGGGGCAAATCCAGCAGAGGAAAAACGAACAGCATAGGTGGGACCTGTAAGACGACCCC